AGTATATTAGGAAGGAAGAAAGGAAGGCAAGAAGGAAGGGAGGGAGGGAGGAAGGGAGGGAGGGAAGAAGGAACCCAGGTTGTTTGATTTCCTCCTAGGCTACACTGCAGTCATCCTTCTTCTGAACATCTGAGAACAAGTGAATCACAAAGGTACCCAAGTAAAACCTACTTTCCTTTGCACCTCTGATCTTTAAACAATAATATGGGACTTAGATGATTACTAAGTCAGGTTCATTCTGCCTGTTGCTTCCCCTGACCCTCCAAATCCTGGCATCATGGTACGTTCTATGCATCCTGAGTGACTGAAAACACAGAACTCATAACACTCACCCTCATCTTTTGGCACTTACCTCTTCTCCGGGGCTGTTGCTAGCCTGTCCAGGGGGCTGAAAGGCTTCCTCCTTTTCTCGTGTCTTTCCAGGCAGTGGGATCTTCTCCAGGGATGGTGATGATCTTCCCTCAGGAAAGTGATCCAGGACAGTGGCCCACTCTGACTCATTCCCTCTTGCCAGGTGATCTAACCTGGTGTTCCCATTCTCTTTCTCTGCCAGAGAATGGCCATTTCCCACAGAGGAATTGAAAGGACCTTCAGTGTTTGGCAGTAGACCCCAGTCCATGTAGTCAGCACCACCCTTTGGCACCTGCTTGCCACTGGACTGGAAGGAGTCAGGCTCCATCTCCCTATAGTCATCTGTATACTCAGGTAACTCTTCTAAGCTATGGCCCTTCCCCAAGAAGGGTAAGTCTCTAAGTCTGCTAGCCTCCTCAGACGGGCCTCCTGGAATCGCCATGGGATGACCCCTATTGGGCATCATCTGTCCATATCCTAGTAAGGAGGGTGGTCTCTGCGCTGGCCGCAGCACAAAAGTTAGATAGGACTTAACAGGGTCTATTGTCTTGGGCTCACAGCTCTCCTGGTGCTGGCAGTTCACAACGTAGCACCGACCTTCAACCAACCAGGCCAAGTCACAGCTGGGCAGGTCACAACAGGCAGCTGTGCAGGCAGCCAGAGAACTGACTTGAGGCACCCGCATGATTTTGGTGGTTTCCAGATTTGGGGAAATAACTGCATTTGAGTAGGTTCCTCCATCCCTACACTTCTCACAGAGGTAACCTGTAAACAAGGTAGGCTGAAGTTAGGCAGAGGAACACTCACCCCACCGGCATCCCATAGCAAGGCAAAACAGCTTACAAGACTGGGAAACATTTTTCTGCAAGGAGAAGGAAAAGAATAAGCATTTATTAAGTGCCTATTGTGTGCCAAGCACGGTGCTAAGCTGAGGTTTGATCCCATGTCCACCAGTGGCACTGCTTTTGAGCTTCTCCATCATGCCACTGCACCAGGTATCTTCTTCGCCTTCAGGATGACACCCTGACTCCCCCCTCCCATACTTTCTAGCTTCCTTTTGTGTGTTGTTTTCTCCCACTCATTTGAAAGCTCCTTGAGGGCAGGAACTGTCTTTCTATTTGTACTTCTATCCCCAGAACTTCACATAATGCCTGGCGTAGTAGGTGCTAAACAGATGTTTATTAATTGATTAATCTCCATAACAATTCTGTGAGGTAGGTGCTATTATGAGCCCTTTTTTACAATTGAGGAAATTGAGGCAGACAAAGGTCAAGTGACTTATCTAGAGTCACATAGCTAATGGGGTATAGGCCCAAGATGACTCCCCCCAAAAAAACCTTCTTTGAACTTTACTTGAACTTTTTTAGTCTAGCAGTCTCCTAAGGCTATTCTTATTCCTAACAACTGGCCTTTCCTTGTCCCCTATGCCCAATCTCCCAGCCACTTCCCATCCTTGATTGTATCTAGATCCCATTCACCTCCCTAAACTCCTCCTCCAGTCACCCCAGCTTACTGACCACTCCCATCAAGACACTCCTCCCAGCCCCTCCTCCAGTCACCCCAAACTACTTGGCCACTCCTAGATCTCTCCCATAGTCTTTCAGTATATAAGATCCATCCTGGCCGACATTTAGTGGCTAAGACTTCCTCATACCCACTTTTCCTTACGAGCGTCACAAATGTTCAGACTCCTTAAGAGTCTGGCCTATATGGNTTCCTAGATCTCTCCCATAGTCTTTCAGTATATAAGATCCATCCTGGCCAACATTTAGTGGCTAAGACTTCCTCACACCCACTTTTCCTTACGAGCGTCACAAATGTTCAGACTCCTTAAGAGTCTGGCCTATATGG